TGGAATTTAATGTTACCCTTATGACTTGGGCATGTGCTCGAATCATTCTTCTTCTCTGATCTTTATGTTCTACCTTTTTCAAGTCCAAGGTATAGCGAAAACGGCGTGAAGCGTTGAGAACAAGTGCAGCTTGCTGTTTTACAATGATATCAGAAGGATAAACTCATAAAAGGAGAGCTCATAATAGCAAACCTATAGAAGGACATCTGAAACTTTATGTTTAAGCGCTCTCATTGTGCAGAGGTGTGTTGTACTACGTATGTGGTTATGTGCAACTGTATGATGAAATATTTAAAAACATCAACAACAGTAAATAGAAAAATTCGACCAAAGAGAATGATGCACAAGCTGAACCACTATTCCTTCATGTTGTAAAAGAGTCAGGCCTGATGTTTAGTCAATTAACTGAGTACTCCAGGGCTCATAATTTGATACTAAAAAGACCCAAGTGGGAAATAAATTTAATGATCAGTCTAAAGTCATGGATTAAAATTGGGAGAACCAGATGGGCTCACCTTTGGCTTTGCTAGAATATGCAGCACACATCATATTTGTAAAAGATAATGGGAAAAGAGCAAACACTTCCAACAAAACTAATGTCATGGTCTCATGATCCATGGATGGTGCGAGGCAGACAAATATGCTCATGGCCGGAGTTGCTAGTTTCTCTAAATTTATGGCCAAGAGCTTTCTAAAGTAAGCTTAACAACGATTCAGGATGAAAATCATGTGAGTTGGGTGAATTAAGGTATAGTGGAATTGATAGTTTTGATTTATCCAGCATAGATTCCTTTCCTGGCCAGCACTGATGGCAAAATTGATGGATAGATCAAGATTAGCAATCTAAACAGCACGTTTCCATTGTTCAAAAGATAGATAACAAACACATTAGACAATAAAATTGAAGAACAGCAGAACACGGAGAGAAAAAGCAACAACTTAATTGATTGCCAGATGAAGCAATGTATTACGATCATTATCAATAAAGTCGTCTAGCATTAAAAAAACAATAAACCGATCAGACATGTCAGAGGCCTCACCCTCCATCGTTTGAGAGCCTCGAAGGACGCCTTTTTGGTACTCCCAATATCGAAAGGATCAGAGAAAGAGTCTTCGTCGCCGGCAACACAGGCATTGCCAGCCTCGATGTCGCGCTCATCATCGTGTGGCTGAATTGAAGATGAAACGGCTTGTGATAGCGAATTCACACCATCCTCTCGGCCTCCTCCTCCTCCTCCTCCTCCAGATGACGTCATCGCGACGCCGCCTTCCGTCTGAGAACGGTTAGAGAGATGGCAGCGCCGCTTCAACGGAGCCACCGCCTTCCGCTGAAAACAGAAAGGGAACGCAAGGAAAAGGAGGAATGCTCACCACCGCCGGAATAATAGCACGTCCGAGGTTGCATATAAACGAAATCCGGAGGCATTGGGGCAGAATGATATGGGCTTTCCTGATATCGATCCCATCCTTTGCAATTTGCGAAACAAGTGGCCAGACAAGCGCAAAATCAGGAAATCGCCTTCCTAGGGTTCGAATTTCTCCTCCTCAATTTGAATCACACTTTCCCGTCACAGAAATTTTACAAAAAAATCCACCAAACTTGTACAATATGCTCTCTCTCTCTCTCTCAGACAGATTTTCGGGTGGGTAATCGTGGTTTTGGATCCGATGGAGCGGCTAACCGTTAGGCATTAACACCTTTATAATAAAGAGTACAGAGCGTTACCACTTCACTGGATTATAGAAGCTAAGCTAGTGGAGCCGGTGAGAATCATGCATGGTAAGTTTCCATGAAGCTTCGCGGGATTGAATTGATCGACTCCCGCACCCATGCATTTTCTCTCGGTCAATTATTCTCTTGTGCCATCAACTTTACACTTTCCCTCAAAAAAAAAAAAACTTTACATTTATGATATACTCCCTTTGTTCTAAAGTATTTATCCTTTTTAAATTTTTTCACTCAAAAATTGTAAGCTTATTAGATTTATCATATAAAATATTATTTTACTTAATTAATATATAATATATTTATATTTAACTTAATTATAAGTCAAAAAATTAAAAACAATTGACCGAAAAAAGTCAAAATTCGAAAAATATTTTGAAACAGAGATAGTATATATATATTTATATATATGAAAATTTTAATATTTTAAAATAAAATAAATCTATTAATATTAAATATATATCATAAATTCATAATTTGATATATTTTTTCTGTAATTTGTTCATTAAAGTTTAAAAACCTAACCTCAAAAGTGGAAGAAAGGGAGTATTTTTCCTTTCCTTTTTTGAATTTCCCATCACTTTCTTCTTTTTTTAAGGAAAATTGCTTTCTCTTTTTTGTTGCCGAGTAATTTATTTCCTTTAACAGTCTTGCCATTTCACTTTTGTTTTTAAATTTCTTCTTAAGCCAAAAATTGGTTAGAGAAAAATTATTATTCCTTTATTATTTTTTCCTTTTAATTTTTTTGAATAAAATATAGTGTAAGGATATATTTCCTCCGAAATAAAATCTCTCATTCTGATTTACAAGACTTCATTGACTTTATTTTTAAATAAATTTTTTTATTGTAAAAGAAAGTTTTATATTTAAAAATTACATGAAATGTTTTTCAAAACAAGATGTGACATTACTATCTTGAATTATGAAATGAGTAATAAACAAGAAATACAATGAATAAAATTTGACCATTTGAACAGTGTTTGAGCAATTCATTTCTAGACAAATGAAATACTTCTTATGGAACTACTAACATTCAAATATAAGACTTAAGGGTAAAGAAATTTACATTGTTAGGAGTAAAACTTAAAAAGACTAGAATAGAAGTTGTGTTTTAAAGGCTCTAATTTGGTACTTTCTTCATATTTTACATTTAATTTAGACATTTTTTCTAAGGGTGTGAGAGGTGGGATCGCTCATCCCCGTCACCCGTCGAAAAGGCGAGATTGCCCATCTCCATCGAGAAGAGGGTTGGGAACCGTCCCCTTCTTTAATTTAGACATTTTTTCTAAGGGTGTGACACTTAAACTTTACAAGTTTCATCCATCTTCTCAACTATTGTGATCTTCTGAATTTTCATCCTCTTTCTTTCACAATTTTTCATATTTTGAAATATTAATTCTTTCACTCTTTTGTTACTATGTGGACATCCTGCGATCCCGATGAAACCGAAAATCTTTTCATGAACGTAATGACGTAGGTGGTTCAAAATTATATTGTTCAGTGATGATGCGAAGAGAAAGAAATTTGACAAACATACAAAGAATCAGCAAACAAAAATGTTGAATGACTTTTTGGTGTGCTCAAGAAGAGATGTCGCATTGTGCAAACCCAGCTCGAACATTCTCACCCAAAAAATTATGATATGTTATGTACGATTGTTGGATACTGTATGCATAACCGAAGACGAAGAACATGCAGTATGCGAATATGATCCAAACAACGTGGATGAGAACGTTTAACCCATTGATGCAACACAACAAGATCTCAACAAGTTTGCATTACATGACGCACATGTGCCACAACCTCCCTGTCGATTTGGTTGAGCATTTATAGAGTTATCCTCACCACTTGAAGATAAAGAATACTCTTTTTTAATTGTACCTTTTTATCACATAATTTTTTTCTTTCTCTTTATATTGAGTAATTTTTTCCTTTGCTTTTTTAATGCTTAGGTTCGCATCTATTTTATCGAACTATGTCAATGTAATTTTAAATTTAACAGTAATCAAATACAAAGTACTAATTTAGTATTTTAGTTTAAGTAATTTTAATTTAAATAGATGTAATATAATATTAAAAAAAAGAAAAAGGGAATGTAAGGAATCTAAGGAATCTATAATCCTAAAAAGAGATGAAGAGTATGAGAAAGAAAAAAAAACTAACCTGACCTTGACTTAATAGCAAGAGATGGAAGGGATGGTGTGATCCATCCACACGGTGTAGTCTAAGTGTAGAATTTAAAAGTTTAGGTTTATTTAATTTAGACATTGTAAAATTTAGAAGGTCAAACTCTATTCACTTTTGTTTGACTATTTTTGTTGCTCATTTCATGAAATAATAGTCATGACACTTTTATTTGACTATTTTTGTTGTTCATTTCATGAAATAATATACAAATTCTTCCATAGACCTAAAATTTATGTTCGTAGTCCATTTGTAAGATAAAAGAAGGGAGCTTTTTCATAAAAGAAAATATTCATATATATAAGCCAATTAAAAATGTGAGAAGATCCATATTTTAAATAAGGGAGCCTCAAAGTGAAACTTATCTAACAAATAAGTCTAGTCATATTGTGTTCCAATGAAATTGCGTAATTAAAAATAGTATAGGAAGAAATTATATAAACCATAAAACTTTTCCAAAGTGAAAAAATGGAACCTCTTTTTAGGACATGCGAAAAAGAAATTGCAGAACATTTTTTTTCGGACAAATGGAGTAGATTGTATTAGGAATATCTTTTAGGGAAATAATATTTGCACTCCAAAATTTGATACTGACACCTCCAAAATGTATTATTCAGTCTCTCACATAAATAGTGTATTTTGGAGTGCCAATATCAATATTTGGGGTGCAAATATCATTTCCCATATTTTATTCAATCCTTTAATAATATTGTAGTGAAGAAATATTGAAGAATCCAAAAAAAAACATGACACAGGGTTAAAATGCAATATATATATAATCATCTCACAAATAGGGCTTTTCTTTTTTTCTTATTGAAGGGGATAGGGCTGTTTTTAAAAGCAACAAAAATACAAAAAACTAGCGAAGGAAACCTAAAATTACGAACAATTCATAGATATCTGAGCTATCAGCCAAAAAACTAGTTTGTGTATATGTGAAAACACAATATATATCATACAACCTGTTATACAATATTTCATGTACATCCGCAATAAGTACTCATTTACGAACAACTGAATGCTCATTTTCGAACAACTGAATACTCATTTTGGAGTAACCAAATACTCATTTTTCTAAAATTCAGTTATTCTCGAAAATGAATATTTAATTACTCGAAAATGAGTACTCTGTTACTTGAATATGAATAATCAAGTAGATGTACGGAAAACATCATACATCCATCCAGATGTATGGTATAAGTGCTCGTGAAACTAAGGCTACAAAAAGTAGTGCATGGGGGGCAAGGAAGCGTGTATGGGAAGGCTTAGAAAATGCGAAAATCATCCGTCAAGGTAGATCACACCATCACTTTAAAGGGATCTTTTTTCAAATCCATAACATTTTCCAATCTTTCTCTCCGCCTAGTTGAATTTAAGAAAATAAACACACAGCAACAGTGAAGATGCTGCACTCATAAAAAACTCTTCTGAATCCTATTTCACACTAGATGAGCAACAATAATTTCTTAACATATATAACCCTAAGGGTGATCAAGGGATTGTTTGTGTTTAAAAAATATTCCGGAAGCAAGTGAGTAAAAGATTATACTACCTCTCAAGTAAAATTTGGGTGTTCAAATGGGGTTATGTGCCTCAATATCCACATGCTTAATGCCGGGAACTATTTCTTGGATCTCTTTTTCCAGGCGATCAACTTCACTTCCCAATGCTGTCACAACCTCCTCACCTGCAGGCCACGGAAATACTATCAAAAACTATGTTTTTTTTATATGGAGAATGGTCCGCCTCTAGATTAAATATTAAAACCCTGCAATTGTCGCTGTGGTTTACCATAATTTGACATGAGCATGAGCAGAGTTGTATCATCCTTCTCCTTTGCAGCCTCCCGGAACTAAGGATAGTAAATAACACAATAGCAATAAGAGACAATAGCTAGCTCATCTAAAGTAGATGGCTCTGTTTGTTTCTATGAAAAGGAAAATGTTTTCTGCTTTCCTGCATTTGGCTTTTAAGTGATTCTTTGAAACTTTTGTGCGAATGAATCCCCCATTAAAACAGATTTATGTTTTCTACTTTTTTGGGTCCAACATTATATTATACTCCCTCCGTCCGGATTTAGTTGTCAACTTTCTTTAAAAAACTCATTTTTGAGAACTGAGTTGAAAATGTCAAAGAAGTCGTTCAAACTAGCTTGTCACTCATTCATGTAAACAATGCTTATACAAAGTTGTTCTCATACAACCAAATGGGCTGTCTGGCTCATAGTCTACACTTTTCTATCCTCTGTTTAAAAAGAGAATTAGAAGCTCTGCAGTTACCTGTCGCGCCCACTCCTGGCGTCCGGCTCTTTCTAGATAATTCTGCACCAGCACCACCCCATTGAAATCTGATATATGAGGCACCGCCATTTTACATTGGTACTCGAGAAAATTCATGTAGACACTTTTTTTAAAAGTTTATGGTTCATATTGTATAAGAAATTCTGTTTCGAGAATGCAAGATTGATATGGAGCAATACATATTGCAGAAAAGAAGACAACAGAAGGGTTTACCAATCTCTGCTTTGAATCTAAAAAATCCAGGTCCTATCACCTCGCTCTTGCAATCATATACAGCATCAACAACCTGTGGAGGTGAATGCATGTGGTGGGTAAAGGTAATGTTAGGGTGTTACATATATGCATATGGATGGGATCCAAAGAAGACATACGGGATCATTTTTCAAAAACTGAAGAACTCTCTCCATATCATGGTCATCGATTGCTCTACCAATCAAAGCATGACGGTTCCTCTGAATCAGAAATATAGCCACCTGCATTGTCATTTCCCATAATGTTTCCGCAGCCCAAAAAAGATGCACATTGAGGGCTCTGTTTCATGGCTTTTCTGCCTTATTTTGCTGATAAGAATAATGTTGTTTTATATTTATTTAAATATTGGCGTAAAAGTTAAAAATAAAACTTATATATTTAAAAACTACAATTAAAGTTCTACAACAAGAGGTAACATGACTATATTAATTTACCAAATGATCGATGAAAATATGTAAAGAAGAAATAGTTTAATGCTATGAATAGTAAAGGAGAAGATTTAAAAGGGGCGGAGGGAGTGGCATTTTACTTATTTTACTAAAATACATGTTACCAGACACCTTTTCTTTCAAAAAAATCAACACATTCAGCCAAGTAACCATTACCAAACAGGCACTTACAACAAGACAAAGTCCAGTTTCACATACCATTCCAAGAAGGTTGCCAACAATGATGGAACCTATGGGGTCATATATTGGGTTTCCTGTTATATTCACTGCATACAACGAAGCAGCAGCAATGGCTAGGCCTGTAACTGCAGCCCCATCCTACAAACCACAAGATCATTGTAACACAATTCCACTTCTGAGTTCTGAGCATGACTTTCATCTTTTTTTTTTACTTTTGGTGCACAGCAATATATTTTTCTTGCCACTTTTAATCCTTTCCGTTGATAAATTGCACAGTAATTGGCCGTATAAGCAATCGGAATGACCAAAAGTGGCAAAAAAACCCTAGTTGTCCACCGAAAGTGAAAAAAAAACTCGGGGACAAATAGTGGGAATGTTTTTAAAGCCAGAGAACAATACATGGAAACTTTTTATTTTTTAATATAGACTATTTTGAGGAGCTCTCAGTATATCACCTCTGTCATAACAGCAACAGATGTAGGGTCATGGCCACGCCATACATATTCCCTAATTGTCATTCCTTCTGCAGCTGCACCTTTTTTAACAGCTTGTATTGCAACAAGCAGAGAAGCACCTAAAGATAGAGCACCAAAGTATGACCAGAATTACATACTCCCTCCATCCCCACAATGGACCAGAAATAAGTCTTGTTTAATCACTTCCTTCCAATTCTTTTTAGGTTTACCCTTTCCCCCACCACAGTGCACTACTGTAAGACCCTTGCATCCCCGCACCAGAGCCACAACCCTTCGACCTTCACGTGCCCAAACCACCTCAACTTAACTTCCCGCAGCTTATCCACTAACATCTTCAACTATTTTGTAGTAAAACTATAAAAAATTGATATTATGGAAGTTCATATTGAGACAAATCTAAGAAAATCTCACATGATTATTTTTCCTTACGTATAAATAACAAAAGATATTCAAATGAGAGTGTGTGATTAATGTAAATTTTTACCATTGCATCTATTTTAAAACGAAGGAAGTATATATTTAACACTAAAAATTCTCTAGGCCACTGCAATTCTTAACATATCAATCACTATTCATTAAAGAAAATAAAGAACATGCAGATTGATCCCATTTTAGCAAACAATCTAAACACAACATCTATGTCGTACAATGAGTAATAATATAGTCTAACCTGTTTTTCACCTAAGACCTGCAGAAAATTATTCCGAAGTTACTCCGGGGTATCCTCGATTTTCCGGTAATAATTCCCAAGGTCTCACATCATCTCAAATATAGCCCGGGGTACCCTCGATTTTCTAATAAGAACTCTCAGGTCCCACATTATCCGAAATATACTCTTGGGTCCTTAAGGTTTGTGATAAAAAATCTCATGGTACATTCCATCCATTTAAGCGTTAAGATTGAAAGTTCCTTTACTTTGACAAATTGAAGAATTCTATTTAAATTTAATAAAATAATGATTATCAAGGTAAAATTTAGTATTTGTCAAAGTATTAGAACTTTTAATCCTAACGGCTAAATAGACGGAATGTACCCTCGGAGTACATTACCACTAATTTTAAGGACCGCTTGAGTACATTTCAGATAATGTGGTACCTGAGAGTTCTTACTAAATAATTGAGGGTACCCCGGAGTATCTTTCAGATAATGTGGAACCTGAGAGTTATTACCAGCAAATCGAGTATACCTTGGAGTAATTTAAGGACCCCGTGGGTATATTTCGGATAGTGGTACTCGAGAGTTCTTACTAAGAAATTTAAGGGTACCCCTTTCAGATAATGTGGGACCTGAGAGTTATTACGAGAAAATCGAGGGTACCTCAGAGTAATTTTCTGCAAGACCCGACCCAAAAATATTGGGTTTGAACAAAGATTTTGTTAAGTGAACCTTAAAATGACCGAACCCAAAATGACCTGCTAAAATAGGTCAAAGCTGATCGAACCCGAACCAACATGATTGACCCACAAAGGTAACATTTTTCAAAATTATGTTCTTTAGTATGAAATGCGCCCTCCATCCCAAAAGTTATCTTTCGACTTCACGAAGTTTTAAAAAAGGTGTTGAAAAGTGAATGATGTGGTTAAAGTTTGTGTAGAAGAGAGAAACATTGAAAGCCACATATTTCATTCCTTAATTGGAAAGTATGGATGTGTAAACTTTAGGAAAAATTCATATGAGTACTTGACATTTTACAATAATATTCCCAAGTTTGGTAATTCATATCATTGCTTCAGCCTTCAAGAAACTCAACAGGTTTACATGCTCACTCTCCGCTTCACATAAGTTCTAACTTCATCGGTTATTGTTTAGGTAGACAAAAACAAAAGCATTTAATAATAAAACTGCTATGTTGTCTTTTTTAAAATTTAAAAAAAACACTTACTATAATAGTCATATTTTTCTTGGATCAGACTTTTTATGTTAGTCTCTTTGTCCCTAAGTGAATTACCCATTCTAGTTTACGATGCTTGACCAATTTATTTTTAATTAAATGAATTTGATTGAGTGTGTAAAATTAAAAAATAAAGTTTATATATTTTAAAACTATGTAAAAAATTCAAAATAAGAGGTGACATGATTCTTTTATACTCCCTCCTTGACTCTGTCTCAATTTATTCTTTCCATTTGGAAGAACGTGCAAAATCTCATTTCTTTTAAAATGATTTTATTTAAAAATTGATGAAGAACTAAAAAGTATAGATTACACCTCCCTAAGAAAAGTACAAATTACACCGTTCTAGACTACAATAAACGTTTTATTTTGTCAAATAAACAATGGTGACAAGAATATTTTATTTTATCAAATGATCAATGAAAACATGCATACAAATATGGGCTCGTACTTTTTACTTTTTCTTTATGTAACAGCCCTAATAAACTTAATTGGTCAAGTGATAAAGGAAGTTACTTTTTGCATAAAGTTGAAAAGTACTTTCTCCATCTCACACTTAAAACAACACTTACTACTTGCAAGGTCTATATATATATATATAAGAAATATTTTCCTTGAGAATTTGAAAAATTAATATACTCCTTAATAATGTAATTGCTTGGTTTACCAAATCTTTAGAAAAATATTTAAATATATAAATTGGAGTAATTTTATTTTAAAAAGGACAACTTAGCGATTAGCGTTCTTACTATTTAAGTGTTTATTTTCCTGTCACTAAACAATAAGTGAAAGTGATAAACAAGAGTGACCGTGTAAAATTGTTGAGTTTCTTGAAGCAAAGATGTGCATTTTGTAAAATATCATTTTTTGGGAGTAATCATATGAACTTTCATATACTTTATTAAAAGACAACCCAGAAAGAAAAGTGTAAACTACATTTTGGAAGGGATGATATAGAAATTGATAAAATCATGTTATCATAATCGCTTTTCTTTTTACTCCATTTTATTGTATGCATGCATCTTTTTTAACGAGTTTTTAATTATATTGTATTGCCATCTTACTTTTTTAAAAAAATGTATACATTTAACATTTTAACTTTATTTATTATATTGTGGCATATTTTTAAAAATTATGAGTTAAATATATTTTCAGCCCTGTATTTTTTTATTTATTTGAATTATCCTTAGAAAAATTTTTAATTTTGAAAACGGTCCTTGAACGTAACTTAGACTTCTAATTTGTTGAGATAGCACATTCATTTTGTACTCAACATCTTACTCTTGCATTTCATCAGACATAATTATCATGCCTTAAATTGTGTCATTTACATAGTTATCACGGCATTGCCTAGGCGTCCAAGCGCCCTTCTACTCTCTCCGCCCTTCTACTCTCTCCATGAGAGCTCGCCTCGCCTTATTTTGCATACCTCGCGTAGGCGTCGCCTTCGTCTCGTCTTTCCTTGCCTAGGCGTCTCCTTAGCCTCGCCTTGGCTCGCCTAGTCCAGTACTTTTGTTTTTTTTACTTTAATGCTTTATTTTTTAAGTGTTTTATACCCCCGGCTCCAGTGCTTTGTTTTTTAATGCTTTATAAATTTGTTTATTTGCAAGTTAATATTTTTTTCTACTTTATCTTCTTAAATGATATTCGGTGCTTAATTTTTAAAAATTTTAAATGATTAATTTATTACCAACTTAAGTCGGTAACGATTTTTTCAACTTTTTTTAGGAAAGTACTTAAAGTAATTTGGTAGTTAAACTTTGATGCATTAGAAAAATTTAAACTTTACCAACTACAATGTATAATTTGATGTATTTATATTCGTGTTTTTAATGTATATCAATTCTCCTATATTATGTGTCGCCTAGGCAGTCGCCTCGTCGAATAGGCGTCTTGGAGGTACCTCAACGTCGCGCCTCGACTTTGCGCCGTGATAATTATGGTCATTTATCGAATTACATCCCCAATTTCCAAATTTTATTATATTATATTGCCAAGAAATTTGAGAATTGGAGATGTAATATGAAGAAAGACACAATTCAGGACATGAGAATTGTGTAGAGGTTGCAAGACTAGGATGTTGAGAATGAAATAAATGTGTTATCTCAACTAATTAGAAGTGCTAATTACGTTTAAAAACTATTTTCAAAATATTTTTTTTGTAAGGATGACTTAAACAAAAACAAAATTACACAGACCAAAAACAAAAGTTACCCATTTTACATGGACTAAAAGCATATTTCACTAAAAAATTAATAATAATTTTGAAAAAGAACTATTATAGTATTAGAAAAGCTTTAATTGATACGGAATACTACGTATAATTTAATATTTATTACAATTTTTTTGTGAAATACAAGTGCTAACATAAATTTAAATATTTTAAAATCAAACACTCTTAACTCATTAGTCGACCCAAGCCCGATGATACTAGGCCATGAACATACATTTCCCAACCAGAACCCAAATCTAACCAAATCAAAAGTAACGTGAACCCAACCTGACCCACCTATTTGCGAGCTCTAATATAGTAAAACTAGGATTTGTACCTTCAATGATGAATGAGCCACCAATCACCAATGATGCATATCCAATATAAGTAGGAGGCTGAAATCAACCCAAGAGATTAAAAGTGACTTAAATTCTTGTTTAAAAAATAAAAATTAGCAGTCATTATTTACAAACAGTAAAAGGAGAAAATATATTCCAATAGTTGAGCACCTGTGCAGTCCACAAGTTTTGAACTCCATGAACTATTGTAGCACCAGAACCAAGACAGAAAATGCCAACAGCAGATATCAAAGACCAAACAAATCTTTCCTTAGAATAACCATACCTGATGTCATGTAGCACAAAAGATAGCCACTGCTCTCTAGGATATGAATGAAACTAGAAATCCAACTAGCATTTGACAATATGGCTAAGTGAATTATTTTAGGCATAAATTATAAGAATAAATGTATTATAATTAGCTAAATTGTTTAAATTAAAACAACTGCACTCAATAGCAGCAAGGGCTCATTTCTTGTTTATGAAATACCATACTTTTCTCCTCTCCAACTTATGGATATACTTGGAGATTTGGAGTACAGATAATGGTAAGGAAAGGGGAAAATATTGATCAAAATATTCATTTTTTATGCTTGGTTTTACCTTGGATAATACAATAAAAAAGAACCAAACTAGATCAAACCATTTTAATATTTTACATGACTTTATTTTCTTATTAGTCGGTATATACACCGTAATAGAAACATATGAACAAAATGAGTTTGAACAAATATCTAAAACTGATTTGTTGAACTAGACAATGCAAACAGATAATAATGAAATATAAATACTTCACATCTTATGAAGATTTTGATTAGGAACCACTTACGGATGGAGAGCGTCTGGTGCACGCCTTGAACTACTTAAGCCATAAGCAAGAAGTGCCTATGAGGGAAGCAAAGTTTAGATTCTGTGAGGTTCATCTTTAATTACTTGAAATGCATAAAACTGAAGGAAGGTCAACCCAAGCATGCTTAGGATGATTTTTAATATTAAAGGAAGCATATTGATTGCCTGGTTCGCGAAATCTGCCAATGAGTGCACCATTTCAGCTAGCATAACATGGCTAGAAGTAGCAAACCAGACCCCGAATTTGAGAGAAAACACAAGAAAGTTGCACCACAATGCAGTTGTGACAGCTCGCTGACTATAATAAAGGTAATAAGTCAGGCAAAGTAGCAGTAAAGAGTATGAAATGTCGATAATTTCATTTCAAAGCAGCTGCATATCTATATAAATAAAATACATTCGCATATAGCAGTTACTCATCTCTAACAATTTTGGCTTTCTTGGAACATTCTATCTACCTTACCTACAAATTTGATCAGGATTCAAACTACTAAATGTATCAAATCCATTTGGAACACACATCTCCTTTCCGTGACTAATAACAACAACATCAACAAACCCAATAATCTCAAATCTGTTAAGTCTAGGGTAAAAAATGTACCTAACCTTACCCCGATAAAAAACAGAGAGGCTGTTTCTGTTAGACTGTCCAAAACTTCATAAAAGTAAGAAACAAGGAAAGTTTAATGTGTCAATGGTTCCATTTCGATTTAGTCGAATGTTTATTCCTAAATAAACATTGCCAAAAATGACTCTTTAAGATCCATTGCCCATGGGCACGAGAAGGTAAGCTAGAGTTTTGCAGACGTCCACCACAACAACCCAACCCATTGGGTAGGTCAAACTTAATGGTCTGCTTGCATGAAGGGACTTTGGATAACTTAATCTACAATATACATCTTGATAAATAGAATGCTTCTAAAAACAGATAAAAGGTGATTGAAATGTTCTATGATCATGTGTTATGCTAATCTATCAATATGAATAAGTCCTCAAATATATATCATCGTATAGAATAATAGACTAAACATTCTAAAACCTTCCCCTCCGAAGTCCGAACTGCTCTAAACCTCCCCATCAAAACAGTCCCTAAGGAATTTCAGTATGAGAAATGACTCTTGGTCCAAAAAAAAATGGGTACACCATCGCCAAAACTATAGTGCCAACAGGCAACAGGGATCAACATTCAGTAACAACTCAGTTTGATCAAGAATTCAATACTAGACATTGCAAAACAATTTAGGAATAGACGAACTTAGTGTGTAAACATGTAGAAATTAAACACACATTACCCGTGAGAGTCCACTTCTATTGCAGTAATATTCTTTTTAGCTCTGGTTAAGAAACCTGGAAAAAAAACTTATTTACTGGATAAAATTCAACAATAATATTTTAGCAGAACACTATCAAAATATGCTGTTCCTACAACCAGTAAAAAAAAAGGAAACTCACCATGGCTTAGGAAGAGGCTATGATTGAGATTCAATGGGACGGGAGTTGAAGATATAACAGAGCTCCTGGGATATAGAGCATGGAATCCAGATGAAAGAGCTGGAGTCCATCGTCCACCAATAGGCTGACAATGTGTATCTCCTTGAAATCTGCGATAAACATTGGGGCAAGATTCTGCCCCATTTTCGAGCTCGGGTCTGTAAGAGTGAAAATGGGCTAAGAAGTCCACATTGAGGGCGCAGAGAGAGGCAGGAGCGGTAGAACGAAGAGAAAAGCTGCCCACGCAGGAGAGAACGTGCGAAGTCCGACGCATTAATGTATGGAAATTGGAAAGAAGGGCTTAAAACTCAGCAAAGATTGAATGCCCTTTTCTCCTCATATAGAAACTCGTGTCATGCTGATGTTACTAGAGCTGCTTCCCAATTTAGGGTGTTAGGGTTTCACAGTGCAAGATTAATCTCTTCGCTTCGAGGTCGTCTGGAATGGAATGAGAATCGCAGGGGCGGGGGGAGAAAGGAGCATACACAAGATGATTTGAATCTTCTTTGGCTACCAGCAATTCAGCATATACACCGGTGGTATATACTGGTGTACCCACCCCATTAGCCATTCCTTAAGTCTTGGTGCACAAGCAAAAAAGCGAAATATTTGATAGGAGTATGTAGATCTCCCAAAACAAATGGAACAGGAACAGATTATCCAAATAGAAATATCCCAAATCTAAGTGGTGTTTGTTTTTTCTGCAGGAAAAGGTCTGCGGTCTGCGGACCACTACTGTAGACATCTGCAGGAGAAGTGGTGGACCGAAGGTCTGCGGTCTGCAAGAAGAAGACTGTTTGTTTTTTTAATGTCTGTAGACTGCTATATAAATTAATGGTGGTAGTGTATGGTGGTGGTGTATGGATGATTGTGGTGGTGGTGGAGGGTGGTGGTGGACGTTGACGGAGGTGGTGGTGGACGGTGGTGGTGGTGGCGGTGGTGGTGGACGACGATGGTGATGGGCGGTGACGGTGATGGTGGACGGTGGTAGTGGTGGACGGTGGCGGTGGACGGTTGTGGTGGTGAAGAGAAGTAGAAAAAAAAGGAGAAGATGTTAGAAGACATTGGTTAATGTCTTCTCCAAGAAGATGCCAGGAAGACCTTTTTGAGTGAAATATCTTCTAAAAAACAAACAATCTGCAGAGTCCATCATCTGCGCGCGTCTGCGCGGCGCAGACAAAAGACGCCAGAAGGTCTTCTGGCAGAAAAACAAACACCCCCTAAATCATCCCAAAAATGAAAGATCCCATATATAATAGAAAGTCCTAAATGATCCGAACTAAACCGAAATCGAACTAATTAATTCATTTCTAATTTAAATTCAAAATCAGGTCTGGACCGGATTTTGGACCTGAACCGGACCGGAATGGACTGGTCCGGAAGATTCAGGTCCGGTCCTCGGGTTTTACAAATTAGAGATTTCGGGTTTTCGGTCCGTTTCGGGTTTGACCCGAAATTTTCCGGCCCAGACCGCAATATATTATATGAATTGTATCCATTATTAATTTCAAGTCCAAAAGCATTAGATCTAGCCCATATGGTTTTAGATTCATGAATTTCATTTTTCCAATATTTAGTTTTTAAATATTTTAATTTAGTTTATTATTTTTTACGGTAGTTTATAAATTTGAATAAGTTAGAAAATAAATTTTGATGAATTTGTTACTACTACTTATAAGTACTATTTTTATTAAATACTTTGAACAATAGCAACTTCTTATTTTAATTTTTTCCATATTTATTTAATAATTTAATTTATTTATAAGATTGCAAAATAGATAATAAAAAAATTCAGGTCTAAAGTAGGGTAAAACCAGACCGGACCGGAAAAAATAGGTCTGGACCGATCCGGGCCAGAAATAAACAGGTTCGGTCTTCGATCCTAGAAAAATTGCAATTCCGGTTCCGGTCCTAACCGGTTCCAGTCCGGTCTGGTCCGGTTTTGGACCAGTGCACACCCCTAGATAGGAGTATGTAGATCTCCCAAAACAAGTGGAACGGGAACAGATTATCCAAATAAAAATATCCCAAATCTAAATCATCTTAAAAATGAAGATTCGATCTATAACCAAAAACCCGAAATGATTCGAATTGAACCGAAATCGAACTAATTAATTCATTTCTGATTTAAATCCAATATCGATTAGATCCGAAACCGATCATATCCAAACCGATTAAACCTGAAACCGATTAGATCCAAAACTGCTAATACCCGAAACCGATAAAACTAGAAATCGATTAGATCCAAAACCGAAAATATTCGAAACCGATTAGAACTAAAACCGATAAAATCCGATACTGTGTTTGCCTTTTCAATAAGCATATTATATTTTTATATTTTTACTTTTATTTTACCATATGAACTACTCCGTAATTTCATTACGAGCTCATTCCCTCATAAAATAGATTACCATCTTTAAAAAAATTACAAAATCTCTAGTTTACATTTTATTATACTAGTATCACACCCGTGCGTTGCACGGGTCATTTTTGTGTTATTAAATTCAAATCATTTTTCAATGATAAAAATGAGATGCAATAGAATATAGAGATTATTTTATTTTAAGGTAAAAAACATTGCTTTACAAATTTCGAGAGACTTCTTTGTAGACTACATTATTTGTACAATTTGTGGGAATATTGTCTTCATTGCATATTACAATCTTCAACCCATTACGATTAGTTACTCCTGAAACTGCAACATAGAGTTGTCCATGACTAAACAGAGGTTTTCGTAACAATAGTCCAACATGTGATTCTATATATTATCTTCAATGTAATATTTTTAGATGAGTTTATGAAAGTAGCTAGATGTAATGCGTTTTTTAATATTGTAGACATTAAAATCAAAGTAAAACAAATAATTTAATATTTAATATTTGGTAATGAAAATGCTTATACAAATTCAAAAGTAAACACCTCAAAGTCTTTTTTAAATCCATATTTCTTGAAAGCTTTTGAGGAATACAAATTTTTGGTATAGTTGCAAGAGTTTTCATTATAGTTTAGAACTAATATTTTTAACTTTATCTTGGTTTTCACTCGTGAAACAACGACATAAAGTTAACCACGAGCTAACATCAACATGTTAAAAATAATCTAACAAATGATAATGTTTGGCATTGACTTTTGTTTATAGTTATAGCAAAACATATAGTGTTCATCACCGTATATCTTCCTCCAGTCTTCTTCATTATATTGTGTGTGTGTGTGTGTGTGTGTATTTATATAGTTTAAGATCATATAACAACTTTTTTTATCATAATTTAACTCCCTAACCAAAAATTATTTTAAAATCTATTAAGTGGATTGTTATCTCATAATGACATATAACTAAATTCCTATATATAAGGATCATCTATTTGAATTAAGTAACTGTTTATTCTCAATTAAACACAAACTTTTTAGATCTTTTGGGAAAAATATTATGTTTTGTAGAAATGGTTAAAAACATCTAAATGATTTCAACCCATATCTCAATCCTAAAACTTTGTGTATGTACTATACATTTCATATTGATTTTTATATAAATAATCAAAATTTCATTTTTACAAAAATAGCTTGATTATACAATATTCGTCATCAATCAAATAAAATTCTATCAACCAAGAGCTCCCATAATTTATTCCAAACAACTTGAGGACAACTCATGGTTTTTGTCACTAATAATGTGACTAACAACTTTCTTAGTTGACTATTCTTTATCATTAGCTAATAACTCAAATGCTTCAATGCATTCTTGAATGAGTTTTATCCGTGCAATATTGTTGGTAATTGTCTTCAAGCTCTGATAACTTGTGCATTCCCGTTGGACCGCTAAAACTATTTTCAAGTAATATAATTTTTTAATTTTTATTAGGGCATTTTGTAGGCAGCCTATCGATAGTCTTTGTTGCCTCAAAACCCATTAAGAAATTATAATCACCAAAACATTTTTTTTTAAATTTAGTTATTACAAAATTTCTAAACATGTGTGCATTAATGAGGAATTGAGGATAGTATATAAAAAAGCCAGATGCATGAAAAATTTAAAGCAATGAATTTATTATTTAATTGCTCATGATTCCTAGGAAACCTACAAACGATGTTTATAATTTTTGCATATATATGTTGAATTGCTAAAATAAAATAATGATCGTAAAAATATGCACCTTTTTATGTCCTTTTTGTTGAAGTATTCCTTTTCTCCTTTCTCTAAATCTCGTCGATTTAATTTTCCATGCTTTTTATTGTTAGAAAACTTGGATGCTCCTACCAACCTTACTTAGAAAATCGATAGATAAAGTTTAAATACTCATTCTGTCTTTTTAATCACAATATTCATTTCCTTTGAACACGTACATATTTAAACTTGAGTGAGGGTAAATGGATGCAATGATACATTCCTTGAATTATATTTGAACAGTTATTCAAAGGTTTAATACCAAAATACTTTTTTTCATATTTTATGTCTTAAATTAGGTGACATATTAGGTGTAAAATCTGCATATGTAATGCACATGTCAACTTTTTGAAGATAAAAGTTTCATCTGTTCATACAAAAGGATTTATTGAATAATTTCATTCTTAATAATATTATATATAAGATTTATTGAATTTTTTATGTTTGGTAATTTTATTTTTTGATTAAAAATAAAAATTTAATCCCATGTCAGATGTATACCCCATACTATGACACATATATACCCCATATTATGTCACATGTCAAGCTCTTATGTATTCAACTCTCAAAAATAAATTCCCCACTTAGTGGTGACAATAACTTGCTCTTAAAAAATAAGTTATTTTCTTTTGCTTCCTACGTTCTTGAACCAATCATACTATCATAGTGTAAAAGAGAAGTGTAAATTTTGGGAGGGAGAGGTAAATTATGCAGCCTGTAGCACAAAGCAACTCTACGTTCGAAGAAGCAATGAACATCAATTGAAGAAGCAATGGACATCAATTGAAGACGTATGAATTCTCATAAGCGAAAATCATCCAATTGCCATAATCAACTCTTACGACTTAGAATGACTTCTCATAAGCGAAAATGACTATGAATGACATGCTACTCATTAATTAAAAAAGTAAACATTAAGTAATATCAACTATGATAGTACAAAGTTTTTTTTCCTTTCATGGACATAGTAGTTGTGACATGGATTGCACAATGAAAACCTTCTAAACACAGATACTACAACTTTTTTCATCACTCCGGTCAAGAGGAACACTGAAAGCAGCCAACTTTTGTTTGGCACCAAACACATTTCAACCATGAATCTGTGGATCACTACATTTGTTATAGCATAATAAGTTGACCTATAAATTGCAGAATGCAAATAAGTTATTGGGAGCAACTAAAAGTGCATCAGTTGACAGTCATTTTGCTCTAATTAAATAACAAAACATGGGAAAAATAGCTCGTATAATTTGTTTTTCATTTAAAAGGATATTTATTTGTGTTTGTTTGATTGAAACTTGCTTCATGAGCTGTACATTACACCCTTTTTGTTCAATAAAACAAAAACATGATCTTTTTTCTCAAATGCATCTAAAATCTTTTAAAAACACATCCTTAGAGCTCATGTGATACTTTACACACACAAACCAATAGTAGTTTTGTTTGCTTAAAGCAATTACAATAACTCCACTATAATAACCCATGTTGCTCTTATGCTGCTCTAAATAAGTCATGTGCCTGCAAGAGGAGTCAGATACAGTAGCTAGGTTCTAATTTACCGAGGAAATTGAGGGCATTTATCAAGTTTATGAAACTATTTTGAATAATCACTGATCTTAATTCATGGTGGACTTTATTAACATAAAATTTCAATGCCTTGGAAGTCTGATATTGCTTAGAAACGCATGCTATAGTTTCACAATTCATAGCTAATTGCAGGTTTTTTTATAGTCCATTATGAAACATATATGAACAAATATTAAATGGTACAAATGAAACACAGTGCATCGTTAATGGTATTATCATTGCAGCTCAAAACGAATGCATGTCTGATTTCATGATACGTCTCTTAAAAAATGTATCTCTCATGACATAGCTTCAGGATGGATGTGGTTAACCATAACAAACTAATGCAGTACAGAAAAGATCTTATTAAAAGATGGAAGGGTTAATAAAGTTGGACACATTTCTACTGTGCTTTTAGAATGCTATCAAACTGAAATATCTTGGGAAACAAAATTTACTATTTAAAATGCTATGAAACTAAAAAAAACCTTGGTAGAATACATGTGGGGTACCTAAAACAAAGATTTTTTTCAAAGTTTTAGCAATAAAATAGGTGAATGTGTGACTTATGTATGAATGAATTTGTTAGAATATCCAAATCAAATGCATGTCTTGCTTTATCATTTTATCATAAATGTGTTAAGAAAAGAGGGAGGTGGGGGAGAAAGAAATGTCTAATCCTTTTGATTAAATTTTTTTAATGTGTGAATGGATGGCTATTGCATATACAACCACTACGTTGTACAAAAGTACATGGGGTGATTGATTAAAAAATTTTCAAAATGGTAGGAAATGTGGTTCTCACATCAAAGAGTGGTTCCTTTTCAAATGATATCAAGATGACCTGTGTACTTGGGAATGCACAAAACCTCTCATCAATCTTAGGTAATGTAGAATTATGAACTATCTGATCTTGAAACATTAAGAACATAGAGAATGAGTAGTGTTTTATAGACATCACATATCTTTATTTCTCCACATACCCTGAGACATTATGTTACATAAAAGGTTCAATAAGCAGGGTGATAAGAAGACAACCACTGTCAAAATTTACAAAGGAATTCATCACATAATGCCTATCACCTAATCATTGTTTTAATTAGGGGTAACATATCCTAAAATGATCCTAAAAATATAATGATAATGAGCTTAAAGTTACAAACCTAAAAAAGCAACAAAAAATGAAAGCACTCATTTTGACATTTTCTCAAACACTTTGAAGGCAAAACAAATGTTCTACTTTTACAATGAATTTAAATTTAAGAGTAAAACTTCAAAATTAACAAATCTACACTAATGAAAACATTAACATATTAAAATCATTTATTTACAGTATGCATATTTTTTAGAACAATTTTTTATATAATAAGTGAAAATTAAAATTTGAACATTATTTTTGTAAATTGAGATTTAAAGAAACTTACATTTCGGTTTTGCAAAAAAAATGGATGAGGCAGCGATACTTTCGTCCTGGTCGATCATCTGCAGAATAGAAGAAGAGCTGAATCCTAGGCGTTTTAGGGCAGAATTTAGTTTCCCAACATTTATCTCTGCGCCAAAATGATCGTAAATATGTAACATCTTCATAACTCTATATATGTAAATAATAACACAGTAAATATGCAGAAGTTAGTTTGTGATTGATGTATAAATATTCAAGAAATAGTTAGAAACAATTGAGAAGAATTATGTAGTACTACGTAGTTGACAAACCTCCTCATAGTTCAATTGATTCAGCATCATCATTCACCCAACATGGGGTTAATCAATTAGAAAAGCTAGTGTTTAATTTTCTACTACGGAGTTTTTTTATACGCTTTGTTTAGATTATTTCCTCAAGTATGAAATTAATTGCTCCCTAATCCGTAATTAGTCAAAATGAATTTGAAAAAGAACTCCAAGAAGAAATAAAGAAGATATCAAGAAGTGAAATTGCCTCTACTGTGTAATTCCGCTAGGAAGAAATCAAGAATTAAAATTACCTCTAGGCTGCAATTTGAAACCCAATTAAACTTCATTCGAAGAATAACCGATGCTTGGACAACGATCTGGTTGCTTTCTTTCACTTTCTTCCCTAGTCTAATTATGCAGAATACGAATCTAAATTAGGTATTGAATCCCGTTATTAATCAACCCATGATTCATAGTCGTAGCTTACACCAAAGTAAAATTTGTTAAAAAATCTACTCTGCATTATACTTTGTACTTGCCAAATCGGTATATGATTATAAATAAACACGTAGTGATATTCGTAAAAAAAGATTTGTACACTCAATTTTAACTCAAAACCTGGCATGAAACACGAGTATAAATTTAAAATGGAAGGATTCATAAGTTGCTTTTGTAAAGATGACATTTTAATAGAAAGCTCTTTATCAAGTGTTAAACAAATAAGTTTCAACAATTGTCAGTAACTTTATAACATGTTTGGTAGACCATTACTTTGCTTCACCGGGACGGCTAGAAACAGAAACAAAATGCCCTGTAGTTTCTACTGTCTACGTTGAAAGAGACCATTCCACAAATTAAAAGCAAAACATATAAAAAACCTGGAGTACCACTGGCTGCAGTTCAACAAAAACAACAAAATCAGCATCACCCTCCAACTCCTCTGCATTTTTAAGACAACTCCATCTTGCCTCCGAACACAATAGCTTGCAATTCTCAAAGAATGACTGAAATACACAGTGTAATTGCTAAGTCGTTAGTGATGTTTATTCAAATTTTCCAAGTTAAAGATGCAGTAGATGAATTACATATATGTGCACTGATTGTGTGTGTGTGTGTATATATATCCTTTATATCAATCTAGGAACCCTAAGAATTCGTTCAAAGCAATGAATACAATTACCAAATAAGAACCCTAAGAATTTGTGAAAAAACAGAATAATAAAAAAATTAACACTTGAAGCCATGGATTTAATTGAATGAAGGAAAGAATACTTGATATATGGAAAGAATAATGATAAACCGAAATCGGGTTCTAATTGCGAGCAATTGGCTATTACCGTTTCGAATTGAGAAAGGAAACTTGCGATTGTTGGTGAAGGAAAGCTGATTTTTCTTCGAATTTCAGTCGACATTCAAAAGGAAAGGAGATGGCGAAGGGCTGAGGAAATTGCAGATTTCTCGCGATGAAGATGGAAAGGCCTTCCGCTGGAATTGGGACGAGGAAGAAAGGTAAAATTCCTTTTTTTCTTCCGCTTGGAAAATGCACAACAGAATGACGGGTGGACTGCTGATTTGTTAAAAAAATAAACTCTCAGTACATCTCTCAGTACATGTGTCATCATTCTATTTAATCAACTCTCAAATTTTATATTAAAGGATTAGAAGTGTAAAAATGAAATTAGTGTGTTGGTCTTAATTAGGAAATTAACTACCATGAGTATTACTTTAAATGGAGCCTAGATTCATCAAGTTTCATTAATTATCGTGATGTTTATCTTATGGGGTTAAAAATAATTATATTAAGGAAGGTGTATTCAATTAAGATTTTATTAATGTAGAGTTTGAAAAATTTGTAGATTTGAAAAATCTGTACAATTCATGTAGAGTTTGGTTGATTTTTTTGTAGAATTAATGTAGAGTTTGAAAAATTCGTAGAATGCATGTAGAGTTTAAAAAATATGTAGAATCCAAACATCACTTATGTTCGACAATCCAACAGTGAAGTCCAATAGTGATGTCGATCACCGTACAACCACAGTAGGAAATGAACAACACCGGTGGATGACTGGGCGACACATGTGGACAGACGGACAAAAAACTTGCGAAGGGACGGACGGACGGATGCCAAAGGACGGACAGACAGACACTGGAGGACAGATGGATGGACGGACGTTGGATGACGAATGGATAGAAGTCCATAGAAATCTAGGGTTGTGAGAAGAGATTCCCATGAATGAAAGTGTAAGCATTTTTTGAGAGAAAATCCAACAAAATCCATAGACTATTAAAATTCATAGACTCTTGAATACCTCAAAATTTTTAAAGACTTTTGAAAATTCAAGTTGAATACTTCAATATTTTTAAAGATTTTGGAAAGTCACTATTGAATACTTCAAGATTTTTAAGGATTTTTGAAAATCCAGATTGAATACACTCAAATTTTAAAAATAAAAAAAATCCTACAGACTACCGGTTCAATACACCCCCCTAAATTAATGAGACATTTTGGAGACTATTAATTTTCAAAATTGTGACCCCAAAGTCAACAAAATTTGTGGGGTGCAATTGGAGGGGTCGATTCAGGTCAGGATGAGATGAAGGATTTATAGAAGAGATAAGAATCATCAATTTTTGAACGACATACTGTAGGGGCCCAATCAAGGCCAATGCCATTGCATGAGCCTTGGCCTTAATGTCAGGTGAACCTGCGGGCAGAACTAGATAAACGTTTAAAAGCATTTTGTAATTATACATTTTTATATGAGCATCTCCAACCATCTTGCTTTGGCTTGCTAAAAGCCATAATATAGAAAGTCAACTCATTTTTCTCTTCTCCAATGGGTGTTTTAAACTTTAGCAAGCTTGGCAAAAAATAACTTTGATTTGCTAAATATAACAAGCTCTTCAAATAATAAGAAGCCAAGAGTTGTAGAATGGATTAACAAGTCATGGTTGGAAAATGAATCAAAATATCACTTGCTATATCACTATTCACTTGTTAAAATATAAAAATAGCAAGCAAATATAGTAAACAAGGTTGGAGATGCTCTAAGATTGAAAAGTAAAAGCCACAACATACTCACAGCAAAAAATGCACTAAGATATAAATTTCTTGCTATTTAACATAACAGTATTATATTTAATATTTAGTGAATAACTTTTAAATAATTTCATTCTTTAGTTTTTAAAGAGAACTAAAATTATTGTTCAAGATCTTCCCATGGAAGTCATCCAAATAAAAACAATGTTTCCATATATGCTATTTTGAGTAATAAATAAATAATCCTTTATATATAATATTTGGGAGTTAAACTCCCAGAAATTCGACATGTGGCAGGCTACTTGGCAAATTTTTTTTACACATCATCAGCCACATTTGATGACTTAAGTGACTTGGCAATTTTAACTTAAAGTATGAAAACATCTTATTAGAGCAAATATTCATTCCCAATTATTGCACCTATGAAAAACTTTTACGAGATATATGTAAAATAATTATAATTAGGAGGTTATAAATGTTAATTATAAAAAACTTTCAATTAATTGCTAATGACATTTATTGGCTAATCCTTCCTTTTATTATAAAATTTGAGACTCTGGCTTAATTACATGATATTGGCATGTCACGAGCTAATATGACATTTTTAATAAATCATTTGTTGTCTATTTATTATTTTAATGAGTTGGTAATTTTAATCAACATAGAGAGTACTGATTTGACATTATTTTATTTTATTTTTTATTGATTGAACATAGTGACTAAATTATTTGTCTTTTTAGTTTCATGCAGTTAATCTTAAGAATTAGTAACTCTATTGTTTTCAACACCCGGTTCATTTTTCGAATGAGATATGTTTGACCAATGAAATTTTTTATCAAACATATTTTTTATTTTGAGATTATAGTCTAATTTTTAATATTTCAATTCATCATATATTTATATAAATAATTATTCAAGCATTTGACAGCAAAGCGAAATGAGACAGTTAATGAATAAAGTTTTTAGAATTATTCAAAAATACCAATTTATTTACCACAGTGCAAAGTCCTATTCCGGAAAAAAACATGAAAGTCCTATTTTGGTACTTTTCTCTATGTTTTAGTCCTATTTAGGATGATTTCTAAAATGAATACTCAAATTAATTATACGAGTAATGTGGTTTATAAACAAGTCTTTCAAATTTTGTAAATCATTTTATTTTTGTACTTTAAAATAATGAAATCTCTACATTCCAATATATACAAATTTATATTCTTAAAAATGATCTTAATTTAGTAACGTAACTATGACCCGTGCAACGCACGAGTGAGATACTAGTAATAATAATAACAACAAGAAGAAGAAGAAGAAGAAAAGTAACATTATTATTATAATAAAAAATGCACGCAAATAATTTTAAAAATACTTTTAGGAGAAATCAAAAGAAGTTAGATAAAATTAGGAGTTGGAAGAAATTTAAAGGAGTTAGGAGGATTTGGAAGAATTAAATTAGGAAAATCTACAAAGAGTTGGATGAAATTAGAAGAAGTTTTGGAAATATGAAGAAGAATTAGGAAAATATTAAAAGTGAATGGTGCATTCAGTTGTGGGAAAACATTTATCTAGAAAATTATTTTCTTAGGGGAATTTTTTTAATAAAAATCATTCTTTCCCCACATTTTTCATTCTTTGATAAGAAGAGTTTTGTGAAAAAATAATTTTCCATTATTTTTCTAGAAAGGAATTCTTTATATTAGTACATTATTGACATTTGAATAAAAAATAAATATGTTTTGAGAAAATTAAAAAAAATTTAAACAACATAGATTGTTTCGTTATACACGATCGATATCAAATATTCATAATATAGCTTCATTATCTATGGTTTGAGGGAGGGGTGGCCGGGGGCCAGGGAAGGGGGAGGGAGTGGATGGGAGAGTTTTTTTATTCATGAAGTCAGAGTGTTCAGGGATTGAGTAGGAAAATTAACTTATGTTTGAAACACACAAAAGTCATTTTCTTTCGTTGAGAGACTAATTTTCCTAGAATATAAATTCTTACGACTTATATAATCAAATATAGGGAAGTATGATTGAAATTATCTAGAAAAACATTTTTCTCTAAACCAAAAAACGAACCATAAGAGTTAGAATCCAAAAGAATAGAGACTTATATTAGAGATACTTAAAATTCAAAATCAAACAAAATCATGTTTAACCTCATGCATTGCACGAGTTAAAATACTAGTAGTTTATAAATTTTGCACTTCATTGTATTAATTTTATTTAATTCTATCAGTTTTAGGAGTAATTGTAAATAAAATTCATCACTTAATTTTATCTAATTTCACTCAATTTTTACCAAATTGTATTCAATTGAAGCGTAACACTATTTGAATTTATCTTTTATCTTTGGATTTATAAACATAAAGATATTACTAGATATGATAAAAATTTGATATATCAAAACTAAATTTTAAAATCAATTTAATTATATTAATTTTATATCATAACTAATTATATATTTTTTCATAACTTGTAGTCCAAATTTGTAAAATATGATTAAAAAGTCAAAAATGAAAGATGATTTAGGGTGGAGATACTATAGTTAGAAAAAATTAAAAATAATATGAGGTGTTGAATTGATGGTAGATTAATAAATGTGATAAAACAAAAAAAGAAACATGAATAATTAAATTTTAATTAGAAAATAATATATATCCAAAATATATTCTATCGGAATATATCTGAACCGAAACATATCCAAAGACAATGTATATCCGAATCGAACTAGATCCAAAATCGAAATATATCCGATCCAATCTGTTTCCGAACCGAGATTTGTCCGAACCAATTTATATCCAAACTTTATCTAAACCGACTCGAAACCGAACCAGATCTAAAAAGTGTATAGAACCGAATAAAATCTGAACCAAAATTAAATCGAACCAAACCGATTATGACATATATCTAAACATATCCGAACCGAAAAATCCAATCCGGAACCGATCCGGTTGACCAGATTGCCACCTCTAAGTACATACACCACACATTTGAAACTACCATGATTTTAGTACAGCTACTTGATTACTCATTTCTGAGTCATAGAGTACTCATTTTTGAGTAATGGATTGCTAATTTTCGAGTAACTAAATATTCATTTTCGAACAAAACTAAATTTTAAAAAAAAACGAGTGTTCAGTTACTTGAGAATGAATATTCAATTGCTCGAAAATGAGCATCCAATTGCTCGTAAATGAGTACTCACCGCAGATGTACGGAAACTATCGTAAAACCAATTGTACGGTGTATATTGCGACTTCATAGTACTCGCTAAAGGCTTTGAACAATCAGGCATAAAATCAATTGCGAAAGAAACAAATTTAATTTTGATATTAATTTAATATTCATAGATTTATTTCGAAGTGTAGTTTAGAAATATCATATTTTTATATTCTGTTTATATATACAAATAATGATGTTAATAACCAAAGTCTTACATTTGAGATCGTAAAATGTTAAATGAGAAAAGGATATGGGGAGGATTGGGATTTGTTCTTTTGGACTAAAAAAATTTAGTTACATGGTGTGAAAATTTTGAAAGGGCCTCACGAGAAACGTGAAGAAGTTTTAAAAAGAAATTTGAAAATGTTTTAATATATAAAACCAAAAGAGATTGAAAAAACTAAATAAATTTAAAAATTGTGAAAAATAAAAGGTGTTTAAGAAATGTTATATTTCAAAATATCATGTTTTTATTACGGAGTAAAATAATTTATACTTCATCTACTTTAATTTAGCATCTTTTAATTTTTTCTATGTTACACTATTTCTGTTTCAAAACATATGCATATATAGTAGTAATGCTTTTGTGACTCACCGTTAGGAGTGGGCAAGAATAGCAATCTCGTTATTTTGTTTCGAAATATCTCAGTGTCATTCTTACAATGTCCCATTTGATTGGGTAGAAAATTTTTGTTCCAAATTTATGATTATCCTATTTATTATATACCAATTTCCAGGTTGTTTCCAATGGAATTATATTGGAATTTGGTCCAAAAATTCAGCATTTGGACGTATTCACTGTCAATTACACAAGTGAAGCATCTCACATTCTCCATCGGGAGCTATTTCCTTTCCCTCTGCCTCTTCAATCTCTCTCTCATCCATCATCAATCCCTCATCTATCGTCAATCTCACCATTAATTTCCAATTGGACATCTTTTGAAGCTTCTATACAGAGGACAACCAGACTATGGAACAAAACTACTCCCTCTAAACAAGAAAGAGAGTGAATTGGTACGTATAACAAGTCCTAATAAGTAATCATAAGCTCATTGAGTATTTGAGTTTTGATAGTACCGAATAGAAGAACACCACTTAGTACCAAATATGCCAAGTATTCTTAATATTGAATAATGGTGGAGGCATAGGAAAATCTCTTCAATGATAAAAACTTGTCTCCTAATACAAAAGTTCATTCTTGGTCGTGTCTACGCAAACCATATCTGTTACAATTAATTAGTGAGGCAAATGTATCTTTTTATATTATATGAGTGGATAAGAAGAGGGTTGAATACCCCGACCCTTAATATTATGTCCATTTTCCTTCTTAACTTTAACACTTGTACAATGCTTTTTAATTTAAACCCCATTTTGCTTACATGCTGTTAGAAGAGCGTGATGTATCACTTTGATATTGATGGAAACCAGGAGGCAAAGGCGCTTAAAAAGATTCTCTGGGTTTCTTTTTTGTGACCTTCCAGATTAATGATAACTGTTTCCATTTCACTCTCAAATAAAGGATGGCGAGTTTTGCAGATTTTAAGGGTGCTATACGAAGCGTACCATAGCTGTTATGCGTTTCATTTTCATGATCTTTCGCTGGTTGTTGTCTCACAACCAACCAGGTAATGAATTTCTAACGTACTACTAATTATTTCATTGTTATCATTGTGTTTTCCAATTTTTTGATTCTGTGTATTTATTTGCTTCTAAGTATACTTTCATCACATTTCACTTTAGAGTTCTCCCTCCATGCTTGATTGAGAACTCATTGTCTTGTGAGATTAATGTATATGGTTCGGTACAGATTTCACTTTTTTAGCCTTTTGCTTATTTTTTATCCATAGTGTTTTTCCAAGTTAATGCTGAGAATTTGCCTTACAATGGACAACTTTAATTTATTGTTTTAAAAGCACACCTATTACATATTCCACGAGAAATGTATTTTAAAATTCTCAGAAATACCATTAATCTTAGCACATTTTGTATGTTTTTTCAATTATTAAAGTAAGGCATTGAGCTCAATATTTTTAACTCTTTCTCAACCATTCAATTCTTGAACCTTATAATATTATTTTTAAATAGGCAGAGGTCAATAAATTTGATGGAGTTTCAGTTTAAAATGGGGATTCAAGTGATCAGATGTTCAATGGAATGAATTATATCAAAACATTCAGGTTTAAGAGTTTGTTTAAGGCTGTAATGATGAGCTTCTACCTCTTTCTCTATTTTTGGCTCAACCACATAACAATACCATATTTGCTCCTTTTCATTTTCTTCAACATTCTTTGTAAGCTTAGGATATTATTGCATACTGATCGATGTTTTTAGGCCAACTAGATACTCATTTCAACATGATTCTAGGCTGTTGGTTTTAATTTGGAGAGTAAATTCAGATTTAGCGCCTCTTTAACCTCTTTTGTTTGACTGTCCTTTTCAATATCCAATGCAAGTTCTTGATTATATTTTTCCATAGGTTTTACATTGGTGCAAACACTCTTTTCCAGCGAGCTTTCTCATATTTTTTTCCGCTCAAGTGTTAGGAAATGGTACATTGATGGTAGATTCATATCAGAAAGAGAATGTGTAGAGTATATTGGGCTGTATGTAATACATATTGGGCCACAACAAATATCTTGGGCTACCAGCTTTCTTGTTAGTTAGTTGGGGTTTGTTATCTTCCTGTTAGTTAGTTAGCATTCTGTTAGATGGGCTCATATGCCTCTTTAAATACTGCTTCTGTATTCCTGTTATGATGATGAAATACGAGATATTCTTCTTCTTCTTCATTTTCATTCTCTCGCCATTAGCTTTACATGGTATCAAAGCTTGTGCTTTATCATTCATCCAGCACCTAATCTGAGACGAAAATGGCTAACGAAGAAGAGCAAACGTATAAGCAAGATCCTCTGTTCTTGCACAACTCAGATCATCCAGGGATGATTCTTACTACAACGAAGCTGACTGGAACAAATTTCATTCCATGGAGCCGATCGATCAAGATTGCTCTGATTTCGAAAATGAAGATAGGATTCATCAATGGAATGTGCAGGAAACCAGACACATCTTCACCAAATTGTGCTCAATGGGAACGATGCGACAACATGGTGTTTAGTTGGATCCTGAACTCGATTCAACCTGATCTGGCAGAAGCCTTCTTGTACGCGACATCCTCACAGGAACTGTGGAACGAATTGATGGAGCGATTTGGTGAAAGCAATGGACCCCTGATTTACCAAATTGAGAAGAAAATTGCAGACATCAGGCAGAACAATGATCCAGTTGGTGTGTATTTCACAAAATTGAAGAAACTTTGGGATGAACTGACTAATGTCAGTGATCCTTGCTTGTGCGAGTGTAATGGCTGCACCTGTGATTCAAAGAAGAAAGTTGCAGATGCTGAGCAACGAAGAAGGTTAATCAAATTCTTGATGGGACTAAATGAAGGTTTTGACACTGTTAGAGGACAAATACTGATCATGGACCCTCTTCCATCAGTTAGCAAAGCCTGTGGTCTCATTCAACAGGTTGAAAGGCAAAAATCAATCACTGGAATTCAAGTTCTGGGAAGTGAAATGGCTGCTTATGCTGGAAGTGATGCTGAATCACATGCCTTATATGCTGGAAAAGGTGGTGGACCACGCCAAAACTATTTCAACAAGACTGATCCTAAGAAGACTAGAAGAGTATGTGAATATTGCAAGGAAACTGGACATCTCAAGGATCAATGTTTCAAACTTGTGGGATATCCAGATTGGTTCAAAGGTCCTAAAGGAAAGAAAGGACAAAATGGTCATGGGAATAACAGATTTGCAGCAAATACCACAACACACTCCCAAGACATTCAATCTGACAGTCCTTTGGATGAAATGAATATGGGACAGGGATTGTTTCAGAATAATCCTGGCTTTGTTCAACATGTGGCTCAAGAGATGATGAGGCTGATGTTAGACAAGGCACACATAAATTCTGCAGAAGCAAGTTCATCACATGCCTATGCACACCTTGCAGGTAAAACTTGGTCTATGGCTTCCACTGTTTTAAGTCTTCACGTTGCTGAGGCTAATTCTGTTAGTTGTGGAAACAATGTTGATTGGATTATTGATACTGGAGCATCTGATCATATGACTCCATTTGAGAATATTCTCTGTAATATACATGATCTCCCAAAACCCATAATTGTGACATTGCCAGATGGAACTCACAAAACAGTAAATAGAGCAGGGGATGTGGTACTGACACTGGGTTTGATGTTAGTTAATGTCCTATATGTGCCTGAATTTCAGTTCAACTTGATATCAGTTAGTAAGCTGATTGATACTCAACACATCAATGCTCTGTTCATGCCTGATAAATGCATATTTCAGGACCCTTCAAC